ATCCGGCTGCTCGTGTCTCTGCTGCCCGAGGAGTCTGACGGCTTCTGCCATGTGCATCAAAGAGCTCGGCGAGCGAGCCCAGCCCAGTCGCAACTCCAAAGGGCAACTGGGTATGCGAGCTGGCCGCGAAGCAGCCGTCTGTGGACAATGCCACATCAAGTGCATGAACGAGCCTGTAGCGTGATTGCAGAGCGAGCACTGCCCGTGGGCCCTCCCGCCTGACCTAAACAGCCACATGTCGCTCACCACCGAGCCAAGGAGAACACTACGATGTGCCGCACCCAGTCTCAGGAAGCTTCGTAACTTTTCAAAGTCCACAGCATGAAAAGCCATAAGAAGACTGCGCTCACTGTGAGCTGCAAGCAACTCCTGAGCTTCATGCCTGTGCCGGGTCGCATTGCCATGCAACCATTCGAGAAATCGAGCCCTGCGCCACGTATGCTGAATCGCATGAAGGTTGGCGCCCAGCAAAGCCTGATTTCGCAGGTCAACCTGCGCTCGTGCGTAAGTGCACTGCTCTAGGGCAAAAAACTGGTGAGCCCACTGCCAGGGACCCGTCTCTCGCCGATGATGCTTCTTCATCCAGCGACGGAGGAGCCCACAGGTGGTCCCCGCCACCGACTCCCATTGAATGCAGCCACGTTGCAACATGGTGCCTGCCCTACGGACCAAGCGACTAGCCCATACAAGGTTGAGGTGCGTAGCAGCGCCATACAGGATCAACCTTAGCCTGTTGTTGGCCATGCGACAGGCCGCATGGCCCCGAGTGCAGACGTTGAACAGAGCGTTTGCCTTAGTCCAACTGGGCTGTTTGCCCACCCAGCCATAAGCCGCCACACCTTGGATCAAGCTCGAGGTGGCCCAAGCCAGGCGAGGCAGGTGGAGCCTTGCAAGACACAGGAGGTCAGCACGGCGCTTAGCACTGGTCAGCCTGTCCTCCTCCTCAGTCGCAGGCTTCCGCGCTCCACGGGACACTGAGCTGCAGCCCAGCACCCTAACTTCGGTCACTCTCTGCGCCTCAGGCACGCCATGGAGCGACGTCTGAGGCCCCGACAGGTGATCTGAGTCTTCGAAGAGCTCTCTTGAAAACCAACCTTCAGAGACCACCCAGCCCAAGCCGCTATGCGAAGCTGGATCTGTTGAAGGGTTCTTCCAACGAAGTCGTCAAGATAAGTCTTCTGCAGTTGACTCCTCACAGAGGGAGGCAAAGTCGAATTCGTCGAAACGACCCCACTCGAAGCCCATACAGCAAGGATCAATGGTGCGAGAGGACATCCTTGTCTTGTGGCGCCGCGTCAGCGACCTCAAGCGGCTCCTCGGCCACGTGTCCATCGTAGCTGAGCCAGCGTCGGTGGCACCAAGCCTCAGTGAGCAGCTGGACCAAATCCGGCGGCCACCCAATTGTTCGCGGCAGGACTGAGGTGATCGTAGGCAGCACTCCAGTCCAGGCTGCCAAGGTAGGCATTCGTACCACAACGGAAGCTGTCGAGGAGCTCGGCAGCAGCAGCTTCCGAGCCCAGGGTCCCTGCGACTACGTCAGGGTGACGGTTGTGCTTCCCCCACTCAAGCAGCCCACTGCCTGTAAGCCACGCTTTAGCGAAAATTCGCCAGAAGATGGAAGCCACGCTTATGGGCCTGGTGTGCCCAGCCTCCAAGGTGTGATCCGCCTTGATCTTTTGCGGCTTAGGCAAATTCACCATTTTGACTTCTCGCAACTGCCGTGGAAGGAGACCCGCCTGCAACCAACGCAAGCAAAGCTGGTGCATCAAGGCCACACAAGGGGCCGGGAAGTGCTTGACTTCCTCCGCCGTCCAGCCATCAGGGCCAGCGCTGCCTTTGACCTGTGAAAAAGCCTTCTGCAGGTGCTCAGCAGTAACCTGCTGCCACTGAACTTGCCGCCTCTGGCCCTCTGGGAAGCCCTCAAGCAGAGTCGCCGCTACAGCAGAAGGGTCCTGCCGCCGTTCTCTTTGCTGCGCCCAAAGGCTCTGCCAATGGGCTCGGATGAACTCCAGAGCCTGCTGCCTGTTGCCAGCAGCCAACCCTTCCCTAACCAGGACGACACTCTTTTGATCCACCTCACGGCCCTTGATCCACCGGCTAAGCTTTCTGAGGTTACCAGAAGACATGTCAGACTTCCACTGCTTAAGGGCCTTGTCCTTGAGAGCGGCCTCCTCCCTAGCCCTTTCAGCAAGACAAGCAGAGATCTCGCTGCGAAGCTTAAGACACCGAGCCCTAAACCCTTCCGGGACGGGCCACAACTTAACGAGCAACCTATACTCAGCTGCGCCTGAGCCCCAGCACTGTCAGGTTTCAGAAGGAGCCTTTGAGCCTCGTAAAGACGCGCAAGCCTACGGGAACGCCTTCTAGTAGCTTCACAAACGCCTCTCTCTCCAGCAGTAGACGCCTGAAGGTTAACCGGTTAACCCACTGGTGAACAGCAACCGTACCCTTTCGGTTCTTGACGTGCGGCTGTGCAAGCAGAGCCACACACTGATCCCTCAGCTCAGGAAGCACGGACTCGTCTGCAGCCAAGGCACACAGCGTGCGGCGGTGCAACTCGTCAACAAGAAACATGAAGAGGTCCCACTCATGTTGAACGTCAGGTTGCAAAGACTGAAAACGATAACAAATCTCAGCATACGCATGGTGCGCCGTCATGTCTTCGTTCCAGCAATCGAGGAGCTTCTCGCGCCAAGTTTCAGCAGGGGCCGCCGCTGGCTTTTCCCAAGAAGGCATGGGCCGCAAGCGACCCTTTCGAAGTTCCGCATCCACACCAGGCTGCGGGAAAGTGGCCCGGATCAAGACGTGGTCACTGTAGACCTCTTCGGAATGACCAGCCCACTTCAAGTTGACGCCTGTGGTGCCCGCGAACCAATCAATGCAGTGCTCACCTTGCCATCGCGTAGGCTTGTGGTCAGTACAGAGCGTGGCCCCAGCCGTTATCACCAAGTTGACGAACCTGGAGTCCCGAGAAACTGCATTGGAATCGCCTCCGAGCAGCCACTGCTTGTTGTGAAGCTGATGCTTGATGTGCAAGTCAAGAAAGCCACCACAAAGGTCGTCCTCATGGCCGGGAGGAGCGTACAAGTTGACAACCGCCAGGCCACGACTCCAAAGCAGCTGGAACGTTGCCGCGCCCTGCGTAAGCACGTCACCAAACCTGTGCGAGACGCCCTTTCGGACAAGTGTGACGAGACCACCCCCAGGACGACCGCCAGCTTGAGGGGGTCCCGGGTGATGATAAGCATCAAAGCCGTTCCTTGTTGCCACCTAGCGAACGCTCGCCAGGACACGGGGTCCTGATGAGTCTCCTGAAGGAAACAGACATCCAAGTCGCGAAGGCCAGTCCTTAGGGCGCGCCATGCGCCTGGGTCAGACTGAACATTGAGCGATCCGAGTCGCAAGTGGCCAGAGGGGCCAGGAGAGGCGGGAGCAGTACTGCCCTCACTTGGCCGAGGAGCAGGTAAGCAAGACGACGGTCCTGGGTTGCTGGCCTCGTTCTTCTTCGAACCAGCCTCTGTTTTTACGCCCGGAAGGTGTCGCGTCTTGCCTTTGCCGGCAGTAGCGAGCCGAGGCTCCGAAGCCTGAGAAACGCCGGAAACAAAGAGACTATCCGCAGTGCTCTGGCGCAAGTTCCAGATCTGAAGCAGTTTGTCCCTGTTGACAGGACTGTTCTGAAGCCTCTGCCAAAGTCTCCATTGGGCTCCGGGGCATTTGCCTGCACTTCCAGGTCTGCCCTTGCACTGATTGCGAAATTCTGCCCGCATAGCAACTCTCAGACAAGACCAGCAGGTCCAAAGGTTGCCTTGTCTCCCGTGCTGCTTGCCAGAAGCGGAAGGCCAGGTTGTCCAATCTGGCGCGAAAAGCCACAAGTCGTGGCCACCCTCACTGGAGTCTTGCGCATCGACAGCGCGGCGAGTGTGAGTCTTAGACTTGGCAATAGCACCATTCTTGTAGCCTTGCTGCAGCTCAAGATTGGTCTGAAATTGCCTAGCCCGGGCCTCCGAGAGAGACTTGAAAGTGATCTTTCTCCTACGGTGCCTAGACTTGAAGTTGCTCTTGATGGATTGTTCTCTGGTAGTCACGTCCTACTAAGGCCAATCGGCAGGCCCTCCTGGCAGTAGGGACACGTAAAGGATCGCATCTCGAGCGGAATGTCAGCCGTAGTGGACAAAATGTCAACCTTGGGCTTGTTGGAAGTGAACAAACTTCTGTCAACACCGGGGTGAACGGTATCAATGTGCCTGGTTCTCTTGTGGCTCACAAGCTTACCCGTGGGGGCCTCAAGCCTAATGTGACACAGGTTGCAGGTCCGCATTTTGCATTGCTGTTTGGCATAAGGATTAGTCTTCCTCTTGGTGCTAAGGTCCTCAGCATCAAGTCCGGAAAACGTGACCTTAGAGCCGACAGAGCAGAGGTCACTCCGCTTGCCTCGAGCGTTGGTCCCACCTGGCTGAAGGTCCTTTAGACTCACAAACCCCTTCTGCTTGCCTCGGAGTTTACGTCTCTTGGTGCCAGGTTCAGGAAGGAGGCAACCAGGCGAAGGGTCCTTTGGAGTACCGCACCCTTCTGAAGCCTCAGCTACCGACGAGCCTGACACCGCGTCAGTAGCAGTACCGCCCTTGCTCTTGGTACCAGAACCAACCGAGGCTTGCCCTCGCCGCCGGGGGGTGGCAGAAGGCAACGACAGCTCTTCGTACTTACGCTTCCTGCCCTTAGAAGGGCCACTAGCCGAAGGCACAGCAGGAGATCCTGAGGCAGGCACGGGTTTAGGGTCTCTCTCACCGAAAACGGGAGCCTTAGGAACAGACAGTCGAGAACAGGGGCCTGCGGTGGCTTGCCCAGTACTACAGGCGCAAGACTTACCCTTAGCAAAGCCCGGACTGCGCAAAGCAGGCCCGGAGGAACCACTAGGCTTCCGACCAAAGTAAGTGTGAACTGAGGGCGTGGCATCCATGGCTCCCTTAGACCTCGCGCTGCCTGTCTGCTTGACCAGCGAGTGGAGTGAGGGGCTACTGTGTCCAGACGCCGCCCTGCGACTATCATGTCTGCGTGGCAGAGCAAGGGAGTGAACCGAAGGAGTAGCCTCGGAGCGACGGGCCTGTGGCCTTCTACCATCAAACGTGTGAACCGATGGCGTAGCATCAGACCGCGAGTCACTGCCAGCACCCTTCAGAACAGTGTAGTGGTCAGCTATGCTCGTGGAAAAACAGCCCCAGCGGGAGGCTGGAGGTACGTGTAGTGGGAGTTTTCGAGGACCAAGCAAACAGGGGAGACGTTTTTGGCCACCAAGGCCATTCCCTGTCTAAACTTGGGCGCCAAAGTGAACCTCTTGATGGTCTCAGCATCCCTCTTGAAGATAACAAGGGCCACGCCCTTCTTTTCCGCAATGGCTTGCAAAGCCAATCCATCTATCCATGTGCCCGGTTTAGCCGCCTCGGAGATCCACGACTTGAGGCTCATGTAAGGTGTATAGGGTCCTCAGGGGCAGTATTTTTGTCCTTCACTAGAACAGACTCAAAACGGTCGTGCTGCTTCTCAATATGGGAGACCATGAACGTCCTAAGCCAAGCCGCTTCAGCTCTACACTCGTCATGGCTAAGACTGTGTGCATGCTTTTGCCTGTGCAAAGCATCTGCTATGGCCCTGTAGCCGCAGTCTCCCTCTCCACCTGCGTCTACAAGCTGCCATCCTGCATCCAGGGCCTCCTTGAGGGACCCTGGTTCGCGGTGAGGAAGCTGCAGCTGAGGCACTGGCATATCTGCCTGCGCTGCAACGTCCATGTCGGATTCCTCAGGAGTTGCCCCGATGTCGGGACCTTCAGGAGGAGAGGGGGCGTCGAGCTGAGTAGTAGCTGGGTAAGGCTGCGCTCTGCTAGGCCTTGGGCACCGGTCTGTTTTAACACGTTTTACCAATGTAGCTAATAGTGAAAATGCGTTTTCGTGTGGGTTTTCGCACATGCAAAGATTCAATTTGGCTCTTCCTGTACGGCAA